TTTCCAAACTCCTATTATCCCCCCTACATCTGACCAATCCAAACCTTCTACCCACACCCTTCCATTTACAGGCCTTCTTAGAATGGATTTAAAGTGTTCTACACATGCCCCAACTATCTCCTCTTGTTGAGTTAACTCGGTTCCATCCACAACCAATTTGGAGATGAAATTTCTCCTTCTTCCATCTGCCAAAGAATGAAAGTACCTGGTATTCCTATTTCCCTCTTGCAACCATTTACATCTAGATTTTTGCCTCCAACTTATTTCCTCATTATGTAGGCAATCCTCTAACTATCTTCTCAAGCCCTTTCTTAGGTCATTGTCTTCCTCTCCAAATTCTCCCCTTCTTTAGAGTCAAGGCTTTCAAGTTGGTCCATCAAATCTCTCTTTTTTTCTTCTAACCTCCCAAACTCCAGGATATTTCACTCCTTGATCTTTATTTTCAAAAATTGTAGTTTCTTATGAAATCTCATCCCCTCCCATTCCACCACTCCCTTACTCTATTGGTAAACCCGGGATGGAGTAACTACATATTTTCAAATCTAAACGGGGCAGGTCTTCCACTCCTCTCTTCCTTGCATAACACTATGGGCCAATGATTCGAGGTCACCCTAGGTAGAGCTCTAGATGTCAAGTTCCCCCAGTGTTCTTCCCATTCCACAGAAAACAAGAACCTATCCAACTTAGAGCATATGGGACTATCTTGGAGATTTGACCAAGTAAATGTCTTCTGGGCCAATGGTATCTCCTTAAGCTCAAAGGCATCCACAAACCTATTAAACTTCCTCATGCTTGTTGTCACCCTCTGATTGGTCTTATTAGTTTCCTTTGGGTATCTAATTACATTGAAGTCTCCACCCACACACCAAGGCCCCTCCTATAGTCCTCTTACATCAGCCAATTCCTCCCACAATTCCTTTCTCTCTCTGTGGTCATTTGGTCCATATAGACATTTGTAAGCACCCACACATATCCAACCTCCTTCTGTTTGAACTTCATGGAAACTGTGTATCTTCCAATCAGTTCCTCCAAGCCTTCAACCACTTCCCTCTTCCACATTGTCACTATCCCCCCTAAAGCACCCCAAGAGGGAGCAACCACCCAACTAATCACCCTGGCTTTCCATACACTCCTTGCCCACCTGTTATTAAACTCCATTCTCTTGGACTCCTACAATAGAACAATGTCTGTGTCGAACCTCTTTTATTGTTGCTCTTTTCCTTGCACTTCCTATCCCCCTCACATTCCAACTTAGTATCTTCATTCTCACTTCTTTCTTACTCCCCTTCTACCCTTGACCACTACTTTCCCCCTTTCCTTCTCTCTCCTTTTGCCCCGAACTTCTTGTCACCTTCCGCATCTCTTTTCAATCTCTCAACTTCACTCAATTTTCTCTTCTTTGTTCTAACCTCCTTCTTCCTCTTCTGTAGACCATCTTTTAGCACATTCAAGTCTTCTAATCTGCATCCCAACTTCCCCACAAAATCCGCTATCAAATCCCTCTTGCTTAGATCCCCCCCCCCCACTACCCTTCCTACACACTCCCCTTCAACCCTATCCTCCTCTCCTTCCCTCCCCTCTTCTCTCCTCTCCATCCTTCCTCCTTATGATAATACCCCCCACCTCCTTTGTGCACTCCATATTATCTTTTCCACCCCTGCCCTCCTTTCCTTCCCTCCCCTCCCCTGAGCCCTCCCCTCTTTTCTCCTCTCCACCCTCTCTTCAATTTATATGTCCTTCCACTTCATTAAATATTCTTTCAATAATCTCCCAAACTTTCTCATTTCTATACCTTCCTTCCCGCACCTCTCCACTAACTTCCCATTCCCTTGCCAGAGCCTTAGAGGTCTCACCACCTTGATTGACTGCACATACATGGGCTGCAAGACATGGAACGGGAACAGAATCTGGAACGAAGGACACAGAAGGCTCATTAGTAGCATAAACTAAATTCACTTGGTTACCTGGGTTTGAGAGAGATGTTGGGATAGGATTGGTCCCAGCCTCCCTTTCTAGTTCTGGAGGTTGGTAAAAATCTGTCTCCCTGAGTTGGTTAGGAAGTCCATCTGTCTCTTGGTTAACATGGCAACCGTTCCTCTGTACCCCTAATTCACCCCTGATTGGTGTGTTCCTGCTCAGCTTTAGGTTTTCCTGATTTGCCCTTTCTTTTGTTGCTTGCCCAATCTGGAGTCTTAAGAATGGGTTATTCCGTTCACTGTCTTCAGCCTCACCTATTTTATGGAATCCCGAGCTTCTTTCTTCTTCTAACTGACCTTCCTGGCTGCCTAATTCATGCCTCCCTTTCTTCTCTAACTCCCCCTGAAACAGCCTTGCAATGTTCCACTCTTCCATGTCACCTGCATCGTAGCCGCCTTCATTGTTCACGTTGCCAATACTGGTACCATCATCTGTACCATCTTCTAAATCTTCTTCATCTACACTACACAATACCCATCCTTCGTCCGCCTCCTCCTTCTCTTCGGCTCTCTCCCTTGCGTACCTTGGGTTTTGGCTTCTCTGAGAAGTGTCGCCCTGGGCTCAGCTCCTCACTGTTACGACGCGGGACCCACTGGAGGTTCCCTTGTTTGGTTGCTTGCCGCTGATGCGAGACTTTCTCAGCGCCCCTCGCTATTTGGGACGATGATAGACACAAGTTTCTGTCTACCATCCGTCCAAAACTCCTTCCCTTATCCCGACCCACGTGACCCTTTAAGTTGTCACGTGGGTCACTTAAAATCATCCCCGGTTTATCCTTCGGCCCGCCCGACCCTCCTATCAACTCGACCGGCTCGGACCGAACCAAACTGCACCCTGGGCCACTCCACTTCTTTGCCACGTCAGCGAAAGATAAGGAGCCCGCCTTAGCTTTAATCCTTTCAAAAACATTTGAATTATTTCCTTTAATTAGATGACTTGTCGTTTGGGTTACCCCAGCCACCCCATTAAACCTTTCCTTAAATTCCACCTGCACCCCTTTCTGACTGCCCACTCTCTTCCCTCCACGTGTCCACCACCCTTCCAGCTCATCGTCTTCAACCTTGGGCCCTCTTCCCCACCACACCTGTTCCACTTCTGTAGCTACCCACACCTTATACCAGACTTCATCCAAGCATATCTCGAAGCACCTAGGCATATCTTCGTGCTTAATCCCAGCCACCTTTACCTCGACAGTGACCAAGCTGCGTTTATTAGCTTCCACCAAGACTCCTCCTAAACTCTGTACTACATGTTCAAGAACAGAGTCGCGCCAAAGGTGGAAGGGGAGACCTACAAACTTCAGCCGAACACAACCATCTTGTACTGCAACTTCATTACAGATGGGACTCCAATTCTGGACCTGTATCAGACCTCTGTCCACCTCTACAGCTTTGAAGCTTAGTTCCTGGTTGCCAACATCCAGAACGGCTTTTGAGTCTGTAAATTCTGGACCTGTATCAGACCTCTGTCCACCTCTACAGCTTTGAAGCTTAGTTCCTGGTTGCCAACATCCAGAACGGCTTTTGAGTCTGTAAATGGAACCAACAATGCTTCGCTTCCAATTCCAATCTCTCCGGCTACTGCGTTCAACACTTTCTTCCAGTATGACACTTCTTTGTCGGCCACCAGAACCATTCTTTTCTTCCAAACATCCGTCCCTGCTCCCACCAGAATTCTTCGATGCACAGAAGAACAAGCCACCACCACACCAGCGGTTGAGGTATTTTGAGCTTCTGTACTCCCGGTAGTTCCACTCGAAACTGACTCCTCCTGATCCTTCCGACCCTGGTCTTTGGAGTTTTGACCAGTAACCTCCACTCCCTCTATCTTCTTATTTTTCATTGCTACAAGGAAGGACTGCAACACCTTCACAAGAATCCTCCACCCTTTCTGCATTCTTCCTTCCGGCACACAGAGCAATTGTTTCCCAGCTCTTCCAAAGAACTCCTCCACCATGATGAACCACCCCTTCCAATTTTCTTTTCAGTTCAATTACATATTTCTTGCCTGGAACTGACATTGAGTTCTTCCAGCCATTCATTCACCTTACCAGAGTTAATAGTCCCGTCTATAAAGCCTTTCATCCATACCGTGACCTCCTTTGATACCAGTATTGTCGCCCATCTGTTCTCTCTAATCTTCAGTGCTTCCTTACCTTTGATCCGTTCCTCTTCAAACTTGAAGGTCTTAGCTTCGATCACCACCTCAGTCCTCCATTTTCCTACGGTTCTGAATCCCCTCTCCCCCTCCATTCTGTTTCTCAGGTTGTGCGTAAACTGTTCAACCTTTCCATTCAGTTCAGTGTTATATCCATTGTTAAATTATGGGCCCTTAACGCATTTCTAACTACTTCAACCAACATCCTTTTTGGTCTGTCCCTTGCAATCTTTTAACTCGTTGTGTATAAATAAATAAATAATGTTCGTTCTAAGAGTTTTTTTTTTCTTTCTTTTTTGTTTACTCTTATGGTATGCATGATCTGTTGGCCAATATTTTTCTTTTATACTTGTGTTTTTCTAAGTCCAAGGCACCCTAAGCCACTTAAATGTGTAAGCAAGCAGCCTCAAGATAGTTTAGCTTAAGCATGCTGTAATAATGTTCATTCTAAGAGTTTTTTTCCCTGTTTACTCTAATGGTATGCATAATGTGTTGGCCAATATTTGTTCTTTTATACTTGTGTTTTTCAAAGTTCAGGGCACCCTAAGCCACTTAAATGCGTAAGCAAGCAGCCCCAAGATAGTTTAGCTTAAGCATGCTGTAATGATGGGTCAATCTAGCATAAAGTGTCTTTGGTGTAATAACACAACTGCAGCAGATTCTGTTGACTAATCTCTGCGCCGTGCCTTCACTGGATTTATCATTATTTTTGTTTGTTGTCATCAGCTACTTTTTGTCATAATATTGCTACAGGTTTTCATTTATTTATTTATCTCTTATTTGATCAAGTTGTCTGAAGTATTTCACTTTGGACTAGTGCATTTACCCTAGGAATTAATTAGATGGATTGACTTCCTCCCTGGCAGGTATGCTATCACAAAAGCCTTCTGCATTGCTTTTGTGATGACATTCTTTAGTGCATTTGATGTGCCTGTTTTCTGGCCAGTGCTCCTTTTCTACTGGCTGGTGCTGTTCTTCCTCACAATGAAGAGACAGATACTACACATGATCAAATATAAATATGTTCCATTGTCCCTAGGCAAGCAGGTATGCCCTGCCCTTAAATGTTCCATTTGATGTATTGTCTTTTACTTCGTCAATATTGCTATTTGTCCTCTAAGAGTCGAGCCGTTTCTCTTTTCAGCGCTACATTGGGAAGAAAGCAGCTTCAACTGATGACTCAGAAATTACTAGAGATTGAAACTTAAGGTGAGTTGGATCATTAAGTGGATATAGGACAGCTGCACTAGATATTATTTATGTGCTTATTCCAGAGGGGGGGACCTATGGGAGCAGAAGTTCATGGTGATCTGGTAAGAAAGTTATTGAATTTTCACATGGCAAACCTTCTCAATTATATTGTGAAAGATGCAACCTGGATTGGAGCTGAGGTTGCTTATTTTTGTGTCATTATTTTCATTTTGCTTTTCTTTCCCCTAGTCGCATCCAGCATACTGCAGTGCTAGTAAATGAATTTATACAATGAACAAGGGAGCATATACAACGAGGAATTATGTCCAATTCCAAGTGAAGATCGCCTTTTGAAACGTGAAATTTGTTCAAATGTTTGCTTGATTTTTCACTCTCTCTCTCTCTCTCTCGCTTGCTCTCTTTACAATTCTTTTTTCCTTTTTCCTTTTTCTCTGGAGTTGCACAAATTGGACAATTGTGGAATCTTAGATGAGGCGACACATCTCTTGCTCTTGTTAGGAGAAATTAATAGGCAGCGGAGTGGTCTTTCCCTGAAATCTGTAGGTATAGGGTATCAAATATCTTTATTGTCTAATGGGCGTGAGGTTGTTCCTTCGTCCCCACTATGTAGTTTTCAATCCACATTACCTTATGTTATGTTTGGTTTGATTAAAAAAAAAGTAAGAAACATAAAGTTGAGGAAAGTTTGCAAGGAACTTCATTCCTTAACAACTTTTCTAGCAAATTTCGGTCTCTCATATTTTCTAAACCAAACGCAACCTTAGTGCCTTACATAATTAGGTATGATATGATCTATCTTCTTTTTTCAGCTTGTTGTTAATCAGCAAGTAATGATCTTTCTGAGGAAATTTCTTAATTACTATTTTTAAGTCACGGTCATATTCCCCCCTTGTGTTGTGGTCCCTCTTAGTAAGGTGGTCCGCGAAGGAACTGGGCTTTGACATGACAAGCCGGTCGGGTAGGCGTCATGGAGTTTTTTTTTTTTTTTTTGTGGGGGGGGGTAGAAAACTTTATTCATTGAAACAGGCCAGCAGGAAACAATTAGGAAAACAACAGAAACAACGAAAACAGCAAAAACAAAGGAAAAAAAAAAACCTAAGCTTTAAAATTAGAGACAATAACCAGTTTGGTAGGGCTCCATCCAACTACAAATTTGAGTGAAAACTAACCTTTGCAAGCGCATGAGCAGCCACATTTACCTTTCTGGAGCACCACAGAAACTTTACCCCTAAACCTTCACTGAGCGTCATGGACTCGGGACCAAGTAAACTAAGGTACATGGTGGCTGGAGAGAGAGAGAGATTGAAACTTTTCTGTTCGACCAAATTTGATTTAATTTGTAAGCTTGCATTTGGAAGTAAATCAAGAGTTTCGGTTTTGTAGGCATTTGGAAGGAGCGTGTAATTATAATTGACGTAAAATTCTACTTCGGTTTAGATTTGTTGGCGTTTGGATGAAGTGGAATCGATGTAAAACTTCATCAAGCATAAAGTTTTACATCGATAATCGATGTAACTACTACATCAATTTTATCGATGTAAAACTTTACACTTTTTTATCACGGTTTTTAAACATAATGATCACCTATTATGTGGTTCAGTGCAAAACGTTTTCAATGTAAAAATACACTGATGACGTTTTACACCTGTATTTTGAGTAGTGACACTTAGTCCCCTATATTTTTATTTTTTTGATAAAGACCCACTTGAATTTTCAGATTGCAGCCCTACCTCGTTAATGGGCTTGAATAAAATTATGAAAATGCCTATTCAAAGTTTTATATGTTTTTTTTTTTCTGACGTTTGTATTTTTCTCTTTTAATTTTCTTGTTATAATTTCTGCAAAATCTCTTTTTTCGCTATTTTTTATTTTCTTCTGTTTTTTTTCATTTTGTTGTTTTTTTGTATTTTCTACAATCTAACAATTTATTGTAGAAAATGGTCTGTAAAAGCGATATAAAATCAGTTTAGGGTTTTAGAAATGTACGATCATATACATGGGTCACATGTTTGTAAAGTTACCTTACAAAATCATGGTAGGGGCAAAGTGCTAAAAATTTATGACAGGTCTTTATCACAAACAAACAGAGATCAGGGGGCTTAGGTGTCATAACCTCCAAACTACAGGGTAGCAATCTATAATTTAGCAAAAAAATATGTACGGTTCCTAAAATTTAATGGAAAATTTCTCCAAATGACAAAGTACCTATATTGTAAATACGTGCGTATATGTACTTATTAAAGGCCAGAAGAAACTCGTGCATAACGTTGAAAAAAATGGTGAGTTATAATATCTGTCTTGCTGTGAATCTTCTCAAATTGAAAAGTGGTGGTGTTTTTTTCAAAATTAGAGAAAACAATGGGAGAGACGTACACGACTTCTGCAAAACAATGACCAAGAAGCCACTTGAGATTTAGAAAACACACATCACACATGCATGTTAAGATGAATGGTGTTTGACTTCACTCTTCACCATGCGGCTTCCACATATTAACAAGATGTGTAGAACCAGTGGACCACCTTTTCTGCTGAAACTAGCCCTACTTCAACCAAAAACACAAATTTTGAACATTTTTATTTACTTATTGGGCTTCTATTGGCCCAATTTACCTGGTCAAAGAGAAAGGAGTTCCTAACAACACGATAATGTGCATTTGGAACCCATGTATTTGTATATTATCATGCATTGGGAGATGTTCTTAATACATGGCTGTAGTATGTTGTGGGTAGATGTGTGCAGAGTTATTGTGGGTAGGAGATTTGGGGAATTCCATAATGTTGGGATTAAGTTTGAATTGAGTTGCGATCTCAAAGAAAAGCAAGGCAGTTGGAACTTGGAAGTTGGTGAATCCATTATTAATATGTATAGTATAATTACATATACAATTTTTATAAAAAACTACATACAAAATAATATAAAATACAAAGGTTTTGCACTCTACAAAATTTCATTTGTATTCCTTCCAAACTGAGTCTAAGGAATTCTTTCCTAGGGTAGTCTGGACGAGGGTCCACCATGTGGTCAAGTCACCCGAAACTGACTAACCATTAGTGAAAACTAGATAAATTCAGTTGTATCGGTTTTCGGTTTGGTCAATTGGTTTAAAATAAATTAAAAATTTTAATTTGCAATATAAAATATTTTAAACTAGGAAATATGAGATTTTTTCACTTTTCTGTATTAAAAAATTATATTTTAAAGGGAAATTGTCTAAAACTCACCATGAGTTTTCAGCATTTCTCTTAAACTCATAACTTTTCAAAACGTTTAAAACTCACCATGTCAGTAAGTTTTTTTTTTCCAAAACTCACCTTCTGTTAATGCACCGTTAATGTTTCTTAACAGAGGTGTCCACGTCAGCATAAATAACAATTTTTATGACCAAATCACCCTTGAATGGCGAGTTAGAAGAAAAGGGTCTTTTTTCATTTTCAATTTTTATTTTATTTTTTACATTTTTAGTGTTTTGTTATAATTTCCAATGTTTTTTATAATTTTTGTTGTTTTACATTTTTCTATTTTCTACCATCTATAAAATTTCCTGTATTTTTTGTTATTTATTTGCGTTTTCTGTGTTTTTCTATAATTTTTGGTGGTTTTTTCTACAATTTTTATTTTCTGTTTTTTTTCAATTTCTATAGTTTCTATAATTTGAAAATAATTTCTTATTTTGTGTGCAATTTCTATAATTTTTTATATTTTTTTTGTAATTTCTGTGTTTTTATGTATTTTATATTTGAAAATATTTTTTGAACTTTTTTCCGTTTTTCATGTCTAAATATTAAAATATATGTATATATTTTATATTTTTCTATGAAGGTTAAAATGGTAATATATTAACAGCCGTTAGTCTCTTTAACGTCAAGTTAGTGATATGGTGAGTTTTAGACATTTTGAGAACTTGTTGTGAGTTTAAGAGAAATGCTGAAAACTCATGGCGAGTTTTTGATAAATTCCCTATTTTAAATGTAATATATATATATGGTTGATTTACAAATGGTCAAACCAAAACTAACCCAATTTGGTCGAGTTGCAAAATTGCTGAACCGAAGTCAACAAAAAATACTAGAAAACTGACCAACTTGATCCAAATTAGTTGGTTTGATTGATTTTATCGATTTGGTGAACAACCCTATTGTTTATGTTATTTGGCTCTGATTAATCTCATCCATAGAGAGTTCAATTTAGTTAGAAACTTTTAAATTTGTTTCCGAAACATTTCTCTATTCATCTCTGGTCCCCGACCTTTTTAGGCCAAGTTCTCCATCTTTCTTAGGCCTACACAATTTTTACCAACTTAAAGTATGTCTTGAACTCCTTGTGTTCTTTCCCTTCCACCAGAAGGTGCTTTGGATTTTTTCCTTGGATCACTGTTTTAAGAAGTTAAGAGATGAGAGTTCCACATGGATATCTTAATTACTTTTTAGCTTATCTACCAATTCCTTGTATGCTTCCATTTCTTTTTTCTGCCCAACCATAAGTTTAGAACCCAAATGTTTATCACTGAGCTCCATCTGCTTTATAGCAAACATTGGAAGAGGCTCCACTTCGGTTTGCTCTTTGCTACTAGTTACCCTTACTCCGAACAACACACAGAGAGATACGATTACCTTCCAAGTTCAAAGCATTGCTCTTTCTATTCCTATTCTTTTTCCTATTATATATCCTAAACTAGTTGCTTATGCCATCCAAACATTTGCCAGAATAGTGTGACAGACATGGCTTAAAGGGCAAGGTTTGGGCTCTGGAAGATGGGGAATAGGCGAGGCTACAACATGGGTGTAATGTGGGTTGTGCTGGGCCAATATGGCACTATAGACCGAGGATTATGGCCTAAGTGGGTGGCACGACCCGCTCGGTCGTGTCGTGCCGGTCCGGCCCACGGACCTAAAACCCCAAGCCCAGTATGCCCCACACGATCGTATTGAGCCTAGCATGGCTAGTGTGCTATTGTGCTAGGTCGTGTCAGGCCGCAAGTGGTACGGCCCAATTTACACTTGTAATTGTAATTATTTAGTATGATTTTTCACCATTTTGATATTTCCTTTTATCAGAGGAGTTCCCTCAACACTAAATTGTGTATTTGCTTTCCATCATTTTATACTATACAAAAAGCTTTTTGTATGCTTTCTTTACTACTTTTTGTGTATTGTTACTTGCTTTCATAGGTTTATTCGACTCAATCAATTGTCGCACAGGACTTAATCGACTAGGCCCATGAGACTTAGCCCCTTGTTTGAGAACACTTAAAAGAAGTACTTCTTTTAAGACATGGGACCACACATTAAGTGGTTTTTAAGTATTTATGGGTGTTTGGTAAAAAAGTGGGGAAGAAGTACTTCTTTGAAAAAGTGACTTCAAGTT